TGTCCATTCTCTCTTGATTTTCAAAGGTCAGAGATTATGGCCATCTTGGATGGAGGATCAGAGAGTCTGTCACTGAGACGGGCAAAGTGCCCTTTAAAAGATGGGTGTGAGTTAGATACGTGTAAGTATGAGGAGATGCACGTGCCTGTTAAAAGAACTGTGTTAGCTGGAAGTTACATGTGAACGTTGTCTTGGATCCTGAAAGGAGAGAAGTCAAAGAAGGTTGACCACTGGGGTGGGAGGTGCATCCTGGAAGGCCCTCAGTGTCTGGTTAGGGAGTTTGAACTGTGTTTTGTAAGCCTGTGTTTTCTTAAGCATTTTCTAAAACCTCTGCACCTTTTATTAAAGTAAAATAAAATAAAAATAAACACATCTCACCTTTGTAATGCAGCTTAAGAGCATGGCCATCTTAGCTGAGTCTTTTCTTGGAAGGTTTTCAGACCAGGCATAACGGCATTGCTAGATCCAAGCCTCCCTCCCTTACCTCTCCTTCCAGCCCCTTCACAGAAGGGGCTCTTGGGGAGGAGAAGGCCCCTTGACGCCCTGACCCCGCAAACACACACAGCGTACGTAACGCTAGCAGCTTTTGCTCTGCCGACGACTTTTCAAGACAAGTCCTCTGATCTGCATCAATCTTCCCATGAAGATCCCGCAAAGGAAATCTCAGTTAAAACTATGATCTTGCTATGCGAGCGTTGTTTCAGAACATGTTACTTGGGGCCCCCACCCCCACCCCTACTTGCCTCTCTTCAACTTAACTCCTACCTCTGAGCCCGATAGGGAAAACTCTGGAGCTTCTGTGGGCTTTAGAAAAGGGCTCTTAATGGTTTTAAAAACAGAATGATGCTGTATTTCATCAAATCTAAGGAACATCAATTGTAAGATGTTCTATTATCTTATGAAGAAAGATAAAACATATTGCCTGTAAGTATTATAAGGCATCACTGATTATAATGTCTCCTCTTTCCTCTCCCCCACCTTACTGACTGTTCGTTTTTTTAGGGTTTCATTGTTTTTAGGGATGCTCGGTCTTAGATTGCCCACCAGAGTGTTCTGTTTAGCACACATGCTTCCCTATCAGCGTAGGAGGCGCTGACACTTTGGCTCTTTGCTCAGGGCTCCAATCTGCTTTCTCCTGCCATTGAGGCATGTAGGGTGGAGCTGGTATGGGGACCTCAGGCCAGCTTGCAGGTTGGACAGGACTTTCTCACTGCGCTCCCCCGCAGCTGGGGCTTACAGCTCTGCTCCGCTTCACGGGATCACTATATCCCAGGAACGGCTGAGTGGAAGGTGACTATTAGCCATTCCAGCGACTGTTAGAACATGCAGGCTGAGTGTGCATCCCCTCCTTCATAAGCCGCTCATTCCTGCGAGGCTAGTTTCCTGGCATTCAGCTTGCTTTCTTCCATCTGGACCTCTTCCCCTGAATCAACAAAAATTTCATGAAAGAAGGGAGAAACGGATCAGACACTGGGCTAGTGGGGTCTGATTCTCCTCGTCCTAGACGTCTTCTAGACCTCCCGAGCAATCGAGTGGATGAAATAAAGGGGGAAGTGGTGTCAGACAGCTGAAGTGCATTCAGATTGATGGTCAAAATGTGTGCAAGACCAGTCCTTCTGCTGGATTGCTAGTCATAGGATTTTATATCCTGGAGTTTAATCACGCAGGTTCAATCACCGCTAGTTGTCTGGCTTTAAATTGAAGGTTTCCTTTTTATCTAAATTGCCTTATAATAAAACCAGTGCTTTTTTAAATTTTAATATTTATTGAAGTGTAGTTGATTTACAGTGTTGGTTTGAGGTACACAGCCAAGTGATTCAGTTTTACATATACATGTGTATATATATAATTTTTTTTTCAGATTCTTTTCCCAGTATAACCCGTCACAAGAAATTGAATATAGTTCCCTGGAACAAGTCCACTCCCAGAGCTCCGTCCTAATCATGGCTTCTGCTCTGAAAAAAAACTTTAAACGTTTTCCTAAACAGTGGAAAAGGAGGACGCAGAGGCCGTTTGCCCAGCTTTGTTCCTTTTAATCAAAGCCGCTAACACAAGTCACACTTTGTGGGGAGAAATCTCATTTGTGTCTCTGGGCACTGCTTTGGGGTTTGGAATTTAGGCTTCTTAAGATTTATGACTGACTGATGCTTTAAAATCGGTTGTTTCTAGCTGCAAATCATGAAATCAGTACTGAGTTGGCGATAAAAAATGAAGGTTTTATGGTAAGTGGTTTAAGAAAAATGCAGAATATGAGTCCTTTGCGATGTAGATGTTTTATAGCAGCAATTCCCTATTTTTAATTTTTTGGGAAAAAAATTCTCCATTGCTATGGAAGGAAAACATCTTGGAGTAACTTCAATGAAAACAGCTACGTATATAGAATAACATATAATGGCCCTGTCAGACTTACTTTCCCACTAACTGAGACATAAATCTAGGATGGTAATTTTTTTCCCTGCAGAATTAGATTTTATTAAAACAGTTACTTTGTATCCCATCCAGCTATGAGTCAAAGCAATGGGATCCTAGAGAAATGAAATGTGTTGATCCCAGTGCAAGCTAGGGCAGAATCAATTTCAATTTCCTTTGGCTGTACTGTTAGTGTTTATCTGATGGTGGATTCCTGTTGTTTTTAAGTAATAGCTCTAACAACAAAAAAAATACTGATTAGATTCTAAGAATCATTTTTTTTTTATTGAAGTATGGTCGGTTTACAATGCTGTGTTAATTTCTGGTGTAGAGCCTAGTGATTCATTTATGCACATAAATATATTCCTTTCCATATTCTTTTACATTAAGAGACCATTACAAGGTATTGAATATACTTCCCTGTGCTGTGTAATAGGACCTTGTTGTTCATCTATTTTATATGTAGTAGTTTGTATCTACAAATCCTGAACTCCCAATTTTTTCCTCCCTCTGCCCTTCCCCTCTGATAACTGTTAAGTTTGCTTTCTGTGTCTGTGAGTCTGTGTCGGTTTTGTAAATCAGTTCATTTGTCTATTTTGTGTTTTTTTTTCAGATTCCACATATAAATGATATCATATATTTTTCTTTCTCTTTCTGGCTTAATTCACTTAGTATGACAATCTCCAGTTCCATCCATGTTGCTGCAAATGCTGCATGTCTTTCTATGGCTGAGCAATATTCCATTGTGTGTGTGTGTGTGTGTGTGTGTGTGTGTGTGTGTGTGTGTGTGTACACACACTTCTTCTTACTCCTAGTCTCTCGTCGGTAGTCGTGTTAGGTT